CCCCATCCACCCACCCCATCATCCATCCCCCCATCCATCCCATCATCCATTCCACCATCCATCCCTTCATCCATCTCACCATCCATCCATCCCACCATCCATCCCACCATCCATCCCATCATCCATCCCTTCATCCATCCCATCATCCATCCATCCCACCATCCATCCATCCCATTATCCATCCATCCCACCATCCATCCATTATCACCTCAAAAAGCAAAGGCGTGTGGCTGCGCTGTGAGCCCGGCACAGGGGGGGCTGGACCACCCTGGTGCCCCCCCTGCCCTCCTGGATGCCTGCCCCAGGGAGCCCTGGCTGGGATCTCCTCACCCAGTCCTCACGGGGTGCAGGGAGGGCAGCGAATGCTCCCCCTGAGGCCAGCGCCCACGCTCCTGCCTGCCCGGGCCTGCCCCCATTGTCTGCAGCGAGCGTGGCTTTTTATGGTTCAGTTTGCGAGCACTTTACAGCCTCAGCTCCTAAGTGTCTTCTGCAGAGGGAAAACGCTTTTTAATGAGATCTTAAGGGAGGCAGCCGCGCACCATCATCATTACATCAGTGGCGTTTGAAGAGCAATCATTTGGTGGCATCTGAAATTAGGCGGTTACCCCATAAACGTGGCAGATGTGATCCTGCCCTTGGTAATCTGCTGAAAGGATGGGCAGAGGCTCGCCACAAAGGATGATGGCACCTGGGGCTGGGTGCCAGGGCCTCCCTCCACAGCGAGCACCCCTGAGCAGGGAAGGGACCCTGGGCTCGATCCCTGCTCCGGGGCTGCCCAGGAGGGGCCGCAGGACATGGGGACGGGTGGCCCTGGGGACAGCGCATTGTGAAATGGCTTTTGAGCAGCTCCCTGCCTCTGGCCCCGGGCTGGGATGGTGCCTGGAGCTTGCAGACATTTTTCATGCACCAAGACTTTTCTCCCTCTTATTTGGGAATGTGAAAGGTTATTTTGTGGGCAAAACCAACTGTTCAATGAACCGAGAGCGCTGGCAGATTTTCTGAATCGGCAACTGGTTTGCAATTGGTGCACGGAGCTGGAGCGGCTGGTATCGTCCTTGCGGGCTTTTCCCTGGGGCTGTAGAGTTTGAGTCCCACCCTGGGGGCTGTGAGCTGCCTCTGGGGTCTATGCTCACCCTGGAGTCCGCAACCCCCCAGACTCCCCCTTATCTCCTCTGTGCCCAAACCTGTGCGCTTACCTTGCTGTCGAGCCTCCAGCTCCTTGATTTCCAGGTCATGGGTGAGCTCTGGAAGAGATCACAGCGGAGTGAGAACCATCCCTGCCCACCCCCTACGTCCCCCTGCTC